TGGAGGGAAAACATTCGATGCGTTTATAGAGTGACAAGGCCATTTTCTCTGACGTAGTGTTTAGACATAAGAGAGTGGTCGCCAAATTGAGTGAAATGTAAAAATAACCACTGGAAACAAGGAGGGAACAATTCAATAAAACGGCAAATACAAAACAAGACAAAAAGCGAGGAAGATTCAAACGGGTTGTGATATGGATTTTTGAAAAACAATTAGGCTGCACCGTTTTCAAACTTACCCTCGCTTGTTTCTCACCTTTAAGTATAACGACCGGGAGACAAATTTGTTATAATGAAGGTATTTTTTGCCCATGATGCTATTTGTTTTGAATTCTATATTATGATACTCGCATACAGACAGACATACGACCTTATTTGCCACTTAGACACGACGAGGATTATGTACGTATGTATACAGACATTAAGATAAAAAGGAGACGAGCTGCGAGAGAATAAATAATTTAATTGTCTCTATCAAGTAAGTCATATTTACAATCTAAACACAGGCGCACCGCAAATAATCTACACCCTCATTGAAGAGATTGCACACTGGGGAAATAAGCAAAATTCCTTACACAGCATCAACGACTGGTTTAGCTGGAGTGGAACTTTCCAAAAGCAAAGACGAGCTTTCATTCTTCACTTCACGAGAGATGATCCCACTACTTCCTGGATTTGCGTTCATGCTGGTTTCTCCATTGCTTGTTCTGCAAAAATAACAATTTTCGACCAACTCAGTCCTATTGTCAACGTACAAATTTTGCCTACGGGTCTGCATATACATTTTGGTGTATACATCTACGATCACATAACGCACTCTCTCATCGGTCCTAGAACCGTTTTACAACGAGGCTACGCAAATAGGGTCACATTTTACCTTATTTAAGAATAAAGGAAAAAAAATTCCTGTCTTCCTATCGGTTTTCACAATAAATCTACTAAAGTTTTTTCATGAATGCCGCTCTCTGATTGGCTACGCTACTCACTATCTGTTCTGTTGTAGACAGAGTGTAACCTAGCAGTGAGTAGCTGTTAACAAAATGGCGGCTCCATCTCTACGTTTTCGAAATGTCTCTGAAAAGGATTCACATAATTTGAACGACTAGTAGATTTATACTAAAATAATAAGATTAGTTGCTCTCGATTTCTATGCGTGATAGTTGACTCAGGCTGCGCCCTCGTTAACTAGAAATCTCGAGCTCTTAATTTAAATGTTGAATGAATGTTCGCCTTTTAGCATGGGATTTCTCACAAGCTATTTTTGTTGACCATACAGAGTCCCTAACAGCTACATTACTCGGAGAAAACTTCAGATGATTTTAATTTCGGACAAAAAAGTGTCTGAAAATATGACCTTCCGAAATATTTACAGTACAGTATAAAACTTTGAAATAGCTCCAAAGCCACTAGTTACCTTTATGAAGCGAACTCTACTTGAGACACTGCTTAAGGAATGTAACGAGTTCATAGAATTTTTCTTATTTTCTCGTCGGTGTATCTGTAAAGCCTTGAGGGTGTAGTAAAACTATCATTTTCAAAGAAACTGTTACAGTCTACAACTTGTTTTGTAGGCGTAAATTTACATTAGCTATGTTTCAGCAAAGTAGTCGAAATTGTTGTTCGAAATTTGTCTGTAGTGAGATAAAGAGTGTCCGAAAATGAAACGTCCGGAAAAAAAAACGTCCAAAATTTGAACGTCCGAAATTTTTTGCAAGTAATTTACACAGCAAACTTACAGAGGTTGTTCGCCTTCCGCTGGCGGAGCAGGAGTGGGGCGATCTTCACTGAAAGGCGAGTCTGAGAGAGGAAACAAGAGAACACGTTACACTCGTTACATTGATATGCTTGTCTTCAGCTATATACCATGACAGTCTGGTAACCAAGTATCTTTTATGATGGAAAAGTCGACACCGAGAACCTGAGCCTGCGATGTTCATCCACAAGGTTGCTTAGCAACACCAGATTTTTTTCAAACGAGCTAAGTCACGGATGGAGCATGCACAAAACACAGTATAACAGACTTGCTCGTTTACGAGTTAACGTTAATCTTTTCTAATGCCGTTCCACCTTATAAAAAAATACTCTTGAGAATTCCTTCGATATAAACTTACTCTGTCCTAGTATCCGTGTTAAAGGGGTTCCACTGCGCCTTAATATAAAGTATAAAGCACTAGATCGAAAAATAGCAGCAGAACTGACTAGTCTTTCATCCCCTGGGGGAGGAGGGGGACGAACGCAAGCGTCTCTCTTTATTTCTTACCTGCACCAAGTCTGTCAGCCTTCTTATAAGGTATCGTCTCCTTTGTTCCGCCAGGCCGTTCCTTTGTAAATAAAACAAGGAATGAGTTGTCACTTGAATGCATCAGTCAATCGCTTATGATAATCAACTGTCAGGGAACTGACTTTGTCTTTAAGTCTGTAAATGAGTCGACCTTCATGAGGCCTAGTCTTCTCCTTCACAGGCAATCGTTTGACCTGTAACGCAGAGGAGCGATTGCGTGACGAGTCCACAGTCTGCGCTGGAGGGGTGGCCTAGGTGATAATCTATCGGTTGCTCGTGCAATTTTCGAACCATACAGAGAAGGAATCAAGAGTGGGAAGACTTGGTTCGGAATCCCTCCGTAGTTTATAGATTAAAAAGGTGCGACTCTTTTTTTGTTCTCACAGAATAGATGAAATCAATCGAAGAACAGTTTCAAAACTATAGTGAAATGACTGAATCATCTTATATCGCCATAACACAGTTCTAGAACACCACATTTTTACATTTACAATTGAAACTTACTAAAGTTCTGTACGTTTTTCCTTGAATTCTCCTATTCGAGACGATAACAGCAGGACCATCACTCTGCAAAAAAATGCACAAATAACCGTGACATAAAAAAAAATATGAAATATATCATTCTACTTTCGCAAGAGAATTTCTCTTGACTGTCGTTTGTTTTCAACCAGGGTTCTTTTCACCTCCTTTTCAAAAAGTGTTGTAGAAACATAGCCACAACGTTTGGTGTCCAATGTAATCCTGCACCCAGAACATCGTACCACAACGGTCAAAATGAGTATAAGAAACCAAGACAGTTGGCCATTTCCGAGTTACCTTGTGCCTCTGTTTCAAAACAAGTAATCGTGCAAAACCTTTCATATGAAAATGAGTTTGATTTGAATGAAAATGAACCTGTAGGCGAAACACATTTTCATATGAATGGTTTAACACGAAGACTAGTTGCACTACTTGTACGCAGTGCTAATACTGCAAAACGGGCACTTTGCTTTGGTATTAAAACACAACAGTCGTTAAAAAACCTCATCATGTTCTCACCGCGTACGCTACAGCAGCATGCTGGAGCCTGGCCGCTTGTCTTTGCAATGTGGTTCTTAGGAAGCTCTCATCCTTCAGAGCGTGTAGTCTGTAAAGAATACAAATACAAGAATCAAGGACTGGACAAAAAAGCGTCGTTAACAACAGTAGAACCGAAAGCGCAAACGCGACTGTTGATCCCAACGCCACTTGATTGCCACTAACATGAAATTTCACTTACGTTTGTTGCAAAATGGTGACCTTCATTTCCCAAGTTTTATTAACTCTTTCAAGTTCCTTCTGTAACCTTTGACAAAACGAAGAAAATTAGCACCTAGAAATAACAGGACTTTACCCAGAAGCTTCGCATGTACATCTTTAATAGCATTGACGCCTCCGATTGTCAAGGTGTAAAACACAAATACTAACGTGAAAACACATTTGAACTAACCAGTGAGTGATGGCATTGACTTGGAAAGATTAACTCGATTGGGAGGTGAGTTTCAGTCTTAAAAATCAGAGAAGCCTACTGTCTCATAAAAGCGTGATCGTCACTCTATTTTTCGTACCACGAAGTGACTGGAAACTTTCCAATTATACCCCGGACGAGAACCTGATCTATCGCCTTCAACTTAAGCGCCTTCGATCGCATTACATCAACACTTTTCCTGTACCTATCTAAGGGTCTTCCTGTAGATGAGGCAGGGTGAAAGAAAACTGATTTCCTAGGAGCAATGTAAAGGATTGCCTGTTTTCCAGCTTCGGTATCGTACACGAATCCTTTAGGTTACAGCTCTAGATCATGGCTCAATGCGCAAAACGTAACTCATCACAACAGAAAGTGAAATACCACTCGGGGACGTCAGCAAATATTTTCCTTACCTAAGGATTTCACTTTTCTGTTTTTTCTCCAGTTTTTGTAATTTCCTCAAAAGTTCATCTTTCTCAGACTCATTCAGTTGAGGTTTTTCCTAAAGTAAGAGGAATACACAAACAAAAAATAAATACAGGGAGAGAGAAATAATAAACTCTATAAAGAGATAGGGGAAGCGAGTTGTTTTGGTGAAAAATGCGCGAAAAAACAAAACAAAACAAAACAATAAGAAGTGTAATCTGATTTTTCATAAGCCTCTGAAAACACAAAGAAGTACACACTGTTCCGATTTCTCAGTTTTAATCGTGACAACACGAGCAGTTTTCCGCAAATCATCGTGCAAACTTTTTTGATAAGAGCCATTCAAGAGCGATCTCGTTAAACGAACAAGCTGGTGCCCTTTTAAGAAAGAAGAGAGCAACAGTCAAGCTACAAGAGAACCATAAGGCATCGCGTGTTACAAGAAGACGGGATTATATTCGTGTGAAAGACTTCAGCTACCCCTCCAATTAACAAATTGACGTCAGTTTTTCATGCGTCTGTCCTGTTATTGATCACGAATTTCGTCATGAGATTGTGAAAGTAGGTCTGGATCCACGAGGCGAAAGCCTTCGAGTCATGTTAGAATTTCAATATACCCCGGTATAAAACATAGTTAATTCCGTTTTGTCTTTTTCCTTGTCTTTTTTTTTTTTTAAAGAATATTTGACGGCAGACACAACTGCAATAACAGCTATGCCACAGAAGGTAACAACAAGTTGGCGCAAAATACTTCATGTGATGATTTAGCGCGTGTTGCGTTCATGAGATAAAAACTTAAAACACGGTTCGCGTACTAACAATAAAAATCTAGGAGACAAACAATGCGCCGAATTAAGTGTCGTCATAGAGTGGCTAGTTCTTAACTTTTACAGTGAGTGACGTATTACTTCCGGTGGGAAATTTCATTTGTCAGTTTATAATTTCACCTCCAGCTGAAATTACTAAACGTATCCTCAGGTCCTTTTAGCTTTAACACAATATCCAAAACGGCGTCGAAAACGATGGCTGACAATACGCAATGATACTTATAACACAGTAGGAAAAGTGCAACCAAAAAAACTTATGAACTGAGATGACACTTTCAAATCAGTGTGCAATTAGGCTGTGGTCACGTAGTTGCGTCTCAGTTTCCCCATGCACCTGATTATCTTTCGTCATTTACACCTTTTTGGGAGACTGGCGATAGTTTAAGAAGACAGCCCTAAGTAAATAAGGTTACTAGTTTTCGTGATGTTTACCGCGCTATGACCTTTGAAACGTTTCCCAAAGCATTCGAAATCGAAAGGTCTTTTCTATAAAATCGTAAAAGGGTTAATACACAACAAAGGTCTCATGGCCAATTACAACGCGACCTAATTGTATTCAAACGACAAGGTTTATATTGCAACTTGATCGAATCAGGTTGGAGGCGCGGTGGCCTCATGGTTAGTGCGCTTGTTCCCGGAACGAGCGGTCCGGGTTCGAACCCTGGCCAGGGACACTGTGTTGTGTTCTTGGGCAAGACACTTAACTCTCACAGTGCCTCTGTCCACCCAGGAGTATAAATGGGTACCGGCGAATTGTTGGGGAAACCTAAAAAATTGCGGAGGAGTGACCTGCGATGGACTAGCATCCTGTCCAGGGGGAGTAGAAATACTCCTAGCCGCTTCATGCTACAGAAACCGGGATAAGCTCAGGCAGCTATGAGCCAGTCGGCCCCAAGGCTTCACTTTTTTGATCGAATCAGACGCTCGCACACTCCGTAATCGAACTGAACTTGGGAAAACCAGAAAAGCTATGTAAAACTGCGTCCTAGTTCTGTGATACCCCCTTTACAACTAACCCCACCTTACCATTCGCTGGAGTCTGGAACTAGCCATGAAGCCTGGCGCGTACGCGGTGATCTGATCAGCGGCGAGTGCTCGTCTGGTGATGGTGGTGCTTTCAGTTCGTGCAGGAATGATGGACTTTTGGTGCAGGCATGTATGAAGTGTAATGAAGTACAGTGCAATGTGCAGGTTAGTTGAGATATATTAGTCTGTTAATAATTCATCTGAACGTGTGGATAGTCACTGCCTCCTTAACTGACGTCTGCCTGCCAAAAGACGTTTCCTCCCTTCCAGCTGGCGAAATTGTGTGCACGATCTGCGTGCCTACCTGACTAATAGTCGACAGTTTCACTTTCTCCTAGTTGCTGGCTAAATCGCATCTACAGAAGCGAAACTTTATCTTCACTCCTAGAACCCGTCTTTATGATAACCCTCCTCGGCGTAAGTTGTACTGTCATGCACGGCTTTGATAACCTTGCGTGACGTGAATCGTAACGCAAGAATAATTTGCCTAGTAGCCATGAGTAGCGTAAATTCTAGTACCTACAGCTTTCTTTACGTGACAAGCACAGGATATTCTTCTAACGTTGCAAACGTGAATTCTCTTGCCCAGCTCACCTTAATTTACGTGGCATAAATTGGACTAACATGGTAACTTAATAACAAATCCCTCCCCTCCTCTCCCCCATTTCTCCGTCTTGACTACACTCTTTTATTTTAAGAATATATTTTATTAGATTATCGAGGCTAAAATTTGCGAAATTTTAAAAATATTTTAAAAATAAACCCGCGGCTGAGATTTTGAACAAAATGTAATTTTGTGTGTTGAAAATTTGTAAATACAATATAGTTATATGTTTTAACTAAGCCGTATAAAATTCTTCCTCTCTCTAACCAGCAAAACTAGCCTAAAAACAACAACAGCAGCACTAGCCGTATGTTCGATGCTAATAACATTTCTGCAAGTTATATGTGTCACATCAGGCTTTATTGCCTGCAGGCTGGCTCCAAAATTACTTCAACGCCATCAAAGTCAATAAAACGGAATGTCATATGCCATGATATGAGAATAGTCACAAGAATATTTTCAGCCTGAAATCGGCAGATAAATAAGAATATTCAGCCTGGGCCAAAAAAACATATTCTTATTTGAAAAAAGAGCGTCTTGCGTATCTTTTTTTTCTCTCTCAAACACAATCGTCGTCTCTTTGATTCTATTCCAAGATCAGACGGCGTTACACAAGGTCGCTCACAAGTAACATCAGAACCTTATAAACTCGCCGACGAAGTACGACATCAACAGAACCAAAAGACCATGGCCACATGTACATAAACTGTGCCTGTTAAAACCCTAAGACTACACACTGGARAAAAACTGGAAGTCTTCATCACCCGGCAGCGTATATCCGGACAACAGCGGAAGTCTGTGTACATACCCGACAAACACTAGCTGCCTATACATGTATAGCTGACTAGAAGGAATGCTATATACCTATCACAACCAGAAAAACCTAATATACTAACGTAATTGTTCCAAAACAAAAGCCTATATAACTGATAACAACAGTACCTAGATCACATTACAAAGAGATCTGCACTCTGGTTAGGAATTCCTCAACCCTTCTGCTAACAGTACAAGTGATAAGAACACAGCTTTATCATACGTACGTGTACCTTTGTTTGCTGGCTTTCCATCAGCTTTCTTTTCTCGTCAAGAATCTTCTGTTCCTTGATCTTTTGATCATGTGCTTGCTGCAGCTCTTCCACTTGTTTACGTGAAGCTGCCATTAGCTGTCAGAACGAGAATTGGGAGAAAAAGTCAACTAAAGGCTGAGTTTTAGAGTCGCGGCTGACAATATTATGATAACAAGGCTGCCAAAAACACTGTACGTGTACCTTGTGCTAAACTGTGGGCGTTAAACTGAAACTTAAGTAGAGTGACCCCGCGTACTAAAGATGTTAACTCGTGAGCTTAGCAGACAGTCAGAAACCGCGGGAAAATTGTTTATTTATATGTAGTGTGGAAAGCGCGGGAACAATCGGGTAACTGGTGGAAAAGTTCTGAGCAATAAGGAAGGAAACAGCTGTCTTAACTGATAGAAAACGTGGCAAGTCTCGGGCCACTGGTCGAAATCACAGCGCGGGAAAAGTCGAGCAACTGGTGAAAAGTGCGAGAAGAAAGGAATTGGAAAGTTATGCAACCCCTAGCAAGCACATAAAATCAAGTGATAGGAGTTGTGACTGACTGACTGACTGACTGACTGACTGACTGACTGACTGACTGACTAACACCTGATTGGCTAATTAAAAGAACTTAAATCAATACAGCTTAACTGTGATTGGCCACAGCCCATGGAAAGAAACAGCAAGGTTTAAGATGCACTTTAAAATGAACAATTAATAACATAGATCTATATAACATACGTTGTTTTTTGTCTCCTGGATTTTGCTATCCATTTCTCTTTGAAGCTGAGCTTTCTGTCTCTGTAGCTGCATGAAGGAAACAGAGATATAGCAAGTCATCACAAAACAGAAAATAGAGCGTTGCGTGTGGTTTCAAAGCCTCTTCTTACAATTATTTTTTTATCAGACCCTTACACGTTTAAATTTAATTGACTTCAAGCAAGTTATTA